CAACATTAAACTATAGATATTCTGCTCCTTAAAACTTAATTGTATTCCCAAAATGACTATTTTATCCTTAATTTTGTCAGCCTTGGTCGATATTTTTTGTTATACATTTTTAATATCATGATATTTTTCTTAATCTATGTTATGAGTTTACCTATAGTAAAAATATTTTTTTATAAAAAAATTTAAAAATTAAAAATGATAATCAATCATATATAATTTATTGAAATTGAATACTGAAAGAAATGGGTAAAATTAAATATTTTGAATAAAAGCCATTGTTAATATCAATGGGAAAATGCATAAGTACCCCCTAACCTATACCCGGATTCTCAACTACATACTTTTTCTTTGCGGGAATTCTATTACCCCTTAAACTTATTTTAAATGAAATTATTTGCACCCTTGACGCTGACATGGCAGAGTGTGTGTATTTCACTCTCCCAAAGAAGAGTGAGAAGAAAAAAAAAAATGATTTTCAGATTATTTTTATTCTTTATACCATTTTTTCTTACTTTTTTTCCTTTTCCTTTTCCTTTTCCTTTTTCTTTGTCTTTTTACTTTTACTTTTAAATGAAATTATTTGCACCCTTGACGCTGACATGGCAGAGTGTGTGTATTTCACTCTCCCAAAGAAGAGTGAGAAGCAAAAAAAAAATGATTTTCAGATTATTTTTATTCTTTATACCATTTTTTCTTACTTTTTTTCCTTTTCCTTTTCCTTTTTCTTTGTCTTTTTACTTTTACTTTTTTTTTTTTAGTTTTTTCTCTAATTCCGGCATATATTCATTCACCGGCGACTTTGTCTAACCTTTTTTCTTCTATTTTTTCTTTTCACACACAAATTAAACTCTCAAAAAGTTCTATTCATAAGCAAGCAAAATACACTCAGATTTGGGGGAAAAAATTCATCATCAGAAAACCTTCCCACGCCGAAAAAAATAATGTATTTAAATTTTAACTGAAAAAAGTTTTCTCTACTTATATTCGTTTTTATTTTTTTTGATGTTCCTCTCACCCATAAATTACACTTTTAAGAAAAATTTATATATATATATATATATATAAAACAAAACACACTTAGATCGGGATAAAAATCTGTCTCCAGAAAAAAAAATCGCCGGAAAAAATGGTGTTTGTGAAATTCCGACGACGACCATTTTATGTTGCCGGTGACCAAAACAAAAAGAAAGAGAATGAAATAACAAAAAAAAATAAGAATAATAAGAAATAAGAAAAAAGGATAAGAAAAAGAAGAAAGAATAAAAAAGTACTAAAAATACTTGTCGGGGTGCGTGTAGCTCACCATCTGGCAAGAGTTTGGTTGTCTAGTTTATGATGCAAATAATTCCATTTAAAATAAGTTTAGGGGAGTAATAGGATTTCCGCAAAGAAAAAGTGTGTAATTGGGAATCCGGGTATAGGTTAAGGGGTACTTATGCATTTCCCTAATATCAATCAAATAAAAGGTAGCGTAGTAATATAAAAATAATAATTTAAAATAGAGTTAGATTTTATAATGAACTCCTAAAAATTACATATTTAAACCTCGGATGTTCTTTAAATTTTAATTTAAGATATCTTTCTTTACTAAAACTAGAAATTAAAGATAACGATAAATTTTGTTAAAAACTCATACAAGTACTATTCTAGTTAAATTTTATTGAGCTTTAATTATAAAATTCATAATAAAATATTTAGCTAAGTGTTTTACCAATCTAAATATAACAAAAAACTTATATGCATAGAGGAGAAATTAAATATATTAAGGGTAAAATAGACAATGCATATGATAGGAGGAGCAAATGTCTATTATTTAATGTTGGATGGGTCGGGGAATTTGATTTTTAAGACAAACTTGGGAGAGTAAAATGATTTTCACCCTTTCTTTATGGTTTAAATTTATCTACTTTTTGGCCACTCATTGGAAATGTTTCTTTACCCATAAAAGAAAATAAAATAGCTAAAAGTTCATGGAAATACATAAAAAGTCTTATGCTTGTATAAGTTCACATAGATATCTACACTATATATGGTATTAAATATCTTAATTAAGATCACACTTCTAGTGGATATATATTGTTAACGTGGAGGGAATTCCGCTATTTATCCAAAATTGTGGGAGCAGCAATCTTGTTTAGTTTAAGTTTTATGCAATATAAAGAAAAGAATTTTTACCTCCTATAGCAAAGGTTAACACTTTATTTATTTTAATTAAATACCATTTAAAAAATTATATTCTATAGATACCATTTAAGGTTTATAGCAAAATATTTAATTTTGGTTACTTCCTAGCCCTAAGCCACTAAATATGTTATTCAGTTACACTATTTTTTTCTCTCTCTACTTTGATACATCTCATTCTCTTTCCCCATCCCATTAAAATTTCTGCTCACAGAAGTCTTGTTAAAGGAAAAAAAAAATCAGTACAACGTGAGTAGAATAAACCCATTTGCGCTTATCCTCTCCACTCGTCCTCTTTGATTTTCCTTTATGCTGTTTTTCTTTGCGCCTACTGTATGAATAAGTGCTGGAAGTTGCATATGTATGGGTATAGAAAGTGGAAGTATGATTCAGGGTTAGGGTTTCAGTTTCAGTCTCAGTTTGACGTATTGTTACTCGTTGCTTCTTTTTGATGCAGTAGGAAAGTATTAGGGCTTATTAGGCAAGAATTCAACAAATTGATTAAGAAAAGTTGAATCTTTGATTTTCATCAAAAGTGAAGAGAAATCAAGAATGACAAGTCCTATGTCAGAGAGACTGGCTTTGACTCCAGTGAATCGAATGCCTACTTCGGCGTCAGGTAGGGATTCAAGTTCAAGAACCCCTTTGACAAATGAAGTCATATGGAAGCGACTGCGTGAAGCTGGGTTTGATGAGGACTCCATTAAACGCAGAGATAAAGCAGAGTTAATATATTTCAATGTATTTTTATGTATTTCATTATATTCATTGCCTTTTTATTCATTGTAATTCAATGTATCTTATTGTTTTTCATTGTATTCACTATCTTTTTTTTCCATTGTATTTCAATGTATCCCGATGTATTCTATGTATTTCATTGTATTCACTGTCTCGCTATATGCCATGAATGTATTAATATATTTTTTAAAATTAATATAATTTATGTATTCAGATGTATTATATAATTTCTCTGAAGATTGCTATGTTTTTGGGGTATTTTTCGGTTGAGAATCTTTTTTATAACTAAATACAAAATTTGTGTGTTATAATTGAGTTTGTTGAGTTATATTAGGAGTCTATTATGTTAATTGATTCACTTTCCGTTTTAAAAACAGTATAATCTCCTATTTCACGCCGTGAATACAGTCGAATACAATAAGTTGTCCAGCTGTAACCCCGTATTTCACTCCATGAATACAGTTGAATACACTCGAAAACAACAACTGATTAGTTGTACTTCCCTGATTCACGCCTATTTTTGCTACTGTATTCATGAATACAATAGTTTAAATACATCAAATACATCTTATAACCACAGAAAAAGGTATCTATAATCTGTAATATAGCAAATGGTATCTATAGATGACTAATTACTACTAAAAGATGATGTTTTATGAAAATTTCTCTATAAAGAATACTCATACAATCGTGTCTAAAGCCGTCAATATGGGCTTGATGAAGATAATGTGTTGGACATCCCATATATAAGCGTCATGGACGTTCTCTTGAATAGTTTGTTTCGAGTTTTGATTTTTAGTAAATGAAACATAGTCTTGTCTTTTACTTTTTTTAGTGTTTATTGTAATATATTAGAACAATATAAAAACTTATTAAGTTTTATGAAATTTTTCCAATAAGATTTTTTTAACTTTTAAATTGTTATCTTTTTTTTAGTTTAAAACTTAAAAAAATATATAATTTTAAAAAATGATGGGCCGGCCCATGGGCCCACAACCCACATAGGAGGGGGTGGACTGACCATTATAAGGCCAATCAAAATGGTGGACTAGCCCAATCCAGTCCGTCAATTGCTAAAGCCCACGTAGGCTGGCTGGGCTAGCTCGACCCCGCCCATATTGACAGCGCTAATCGTATTGTTGAAAAATAAATCACATGTAACACTTTATAATATTAAGCATTAAAACTAAAAAAAATTAATAAGTCACTTGCTGGACGATATTGGATGAAGTTGCAAGTGATAAAAATCCACGGTACTGTTAATATATGTACCTTAAAATCATGGCAATAATAAGGTATGTTCAGCTTATTGAAGACGCTGTACCTCAATTTTGTCACTCAACTATCGCGTGTGTATGTTTCTGCATGTGAAATTACTTGTAACTCCTGCCCAAATTTGGTTACATTTAGGAGCCACCGTTTTCAGGGTTAGATGTTGAGGGTTGGCAACATATTCACGTGCACCCAATAGTTTTTACTCCCGATTCAGGAGCGGATGCAGCATATAGTTATCGAGTTCAATTGAATCTAATACTTTCGACACAGAGCATAAATTTGTATGTACAATCACAAAAATTATAATTATAGTAAATATGAACACATAACTTTAAAATATAATGGGTTTAATGCTAAAAACTTTAAATGTTGAATCCACAATTCTAGATCATCCTCTGTCCCAATCATGTATATATATATTAAGAAATTTACTAAAAAATTTATATACATGAGTGTGAACTCAGTTATTATTATAACTTAAGGTTATTGTTGGGACTCATAAACTCCAGATCCTAAGAACGTATTTCACTGTTTTCCATCAACGGAAAGAGTTATGGCGTAGTAATTGAACCAGTTGTTTCCCATGAGGAACTAAAATGACAAAGAAAAATCTTCTAAAGATTCAGAATATGGAAGAGGCCTCAACAAAGAAAGGAGGACTACGATCTTTAACTGCACTGGAAAAAGACCAAAGGGCATGGGGGTAGTGAAGCCAATGTGTTAAGGAAAAAATACTTTAATACATGTTCCATATTTGGAAATTTTTATTCGTGGACCACGTCTTAGAATCCTGGTGGACCATGCCTGTTAGTTGTTGGAACATTGAAGCCATCAATTGCTTAATTATGCAGTTATTAAATACTTAGTTACCTCTCAACTTCATACTACCATATACTCCTTCCATTCACTTTTACTCGGTATATTTTGATTTTTCACGCCCCTTAAAAAATAATAAATAAAGTGTGTAATTTACTATGATAATCATATTAATTGATGCATATTTTATTAGATTTGAGAAAATAATTTAAAAGGAGTAATAAATACTGTGAGTATAACATGAAAAATAAAAATGTATTTTTAATATACATGCCAAGTAAAAGTGAACGAAAGGAGTACATTTCTTTGAAACATTAATTACGCCTAAAGTATAATACAATGTGTTGGACTAAACAATGATAAAAAGTTTTTCACACCCAATATTTGCACCAATAGGAAGATGACATGGCTAGCAGATAAATTTCTTTCACTGAACCATAGTTAACTGATATGCTTTCTCATTTGATCATATTACTTAACCATGCATGGTTAGTTGAATTTGATTTAGTGCATATGAAAAATACTTTCGGAGTGTCTTGAGAAAGGAGTAGGCTGATCTGATGTAGAAATAATTTTTTTCTTTTTAAATCTTTTGACGTATGGTAGTTTCTTACACCCGTTGATCTTATAGGTCTTTGTTGTATAAGAAAGTTAAGGATTTACTTTTTACAACGATAAGAGATAATAGATCTTTCGCAAAATTTAAATAGGGGAGTGTTGTGTATCATCCCTTCTTACAGTCCTCCACAACAAGACAACAGTGATTATCTTTTTTTAGAAGTAACAAGAGTTAATTTTCAGGTATTTAATTATGCTTCTTTCTATGTAGTTCATGCATGTTGATGTTGATGAGATCTATTGTAATATTGCTTCCCTCATGACGTTATACACATTGAAGAGACTATCCTTGTATTGTTATATTTTTGTACCAAGTAGATTAGAATGGTTGCTCAAGTTCGTGTCTCGATCTTCCTTCCTGCCTTGCTTATGAGGGCTGAATTACCCAAGATAATAAAGGGGCACATTAATTCATTCCCTCAACCAACTTATCATTCCCTCGTACATAATACTAAATAATTGGGGCGTGTATAACATAACACGAGGGTCCAACATTGAGAAACACGACAACATTGATAGATGAGCTAGTCTGGCTTCGATACCATGTTACAAACTATATTTCTTGAGGATAATGTTGTTAACCTCGAAAATATGAGTAACAATTATATTTGATTTGTGGTTTTAAAGATACGTGATTTAGTTTAATACTAATTAATAATCAAAAAGTATAGCGTATAAATGAAAGAAATAAGTAAATCAAACCAGTGTTGCTAGGTAGTATCAACCTCGAGCCAAAGTGACCTCGAGATGGACCAAAAACAATAAAGCTAAAGGACAATTCTAATGAACAATGAGTGAAAAAGTAAGAGAGTATATTCTTTGCCAATGATTAGATGATCTTTACAAATGATTGGGTTCCCCTTTTTATAATAGGGAAACCCTAAATAAGGTATGCATTTCTATTTACAGTAAGAAATATTATTGGGACAGCCGTCTAATCGCATAGTATAGATTCGTACTATGTCGTACGAATAAATTTCGGAATTTACGCCGCGATCTTGGGGACGTGGCGGGAATCTTGTCCTTCTATAACAAACTCATAATGGCACTGTCTCGGAGTCAGCCATACTTGGCTCCGATGTTCCTCGAGCGCTTAGGTCTTCGAGCCTCTTCTTCTACCTTCGAGCTCGAACTTGGTCTATATCGAACTTTTGTCCTCGATGAGACCTCTCGAGCCTACAAAATCGGAGGCATAAAATTTTGACCGTATACAGATAGTCCCCGCATTTCTTAGAATAAAATGATAAGAAATGATTTAATTCTCTTCCCTTCGATGCCTCGATCATGATGCCAATCTCGTGGCGTCAGTGACTGAAGTGACTGAAAGGTCGCGCCTGCACAGTTTCTCAAGGCCATCAATTAAAGGCGGTTGATAGTCGACTGTTGGTTTCCCTAAACCGTTTAAGGTAGCCTCTATAAATAGGCCAATCTCACAATTTTTACATTTTTTACTTCTCAAATCACTACTAAAATTTTACTAGTTTCTTCATCTTCTCTAAGTTCATTCATTTCCCAATTTGTTCTTACTACAACATCAACTCTTTCTCCTCTTTTGAATTTCTCAACAATAATGGCTAAAACATTTAAGACCGTTCGCTAGAAAGAGAAAGATTCTTCATCATCGCGGCCGGCCAGGGGTAGAACAGTGGTGCCACCTCGTATCGAGGAGTGCACTCTCGGGCCATGAGAGATAACTTCAGATTTTAAAATCGATAAACCTGCATCAACATCAGGCCGGTGTGAGCCCATGTCTCTATACATCTTCTTTATCACTGAAGATGAACTTGAGTAGGTAAAAAAGGATTGCAATTGGGAGAATAAGGACGTGGTGATCCCGTCCCTCGAAGAGGACATCACTACCCACAAGGTAGGATATTTAAGCATATATAACCCTTTTACAATGGGTCTCGTAGATCCATTAGTGGGTCCTGTAAACCCAGTCATTCTCGATTTTTGCCAACAATACCAGGTAATGCTTGGCCAGATCTATCCTTCTTTCTGACGCATCGTCAATTTGATCAGGTATTTCTCGAGCCAGGTCGAGGGGATGCCTTTTACCCTCGACCACCTGATCTGGCTATACAACCCTCGCCTTTATTGAGGTGGTATGTTAAAGCTGCAGTGCCGATCTTTGAAATCTCTTTTCTCCAACATCAATGAGGACAAGGACCGAGGATGGATGAGCCGGTTTGTTCATATCAGGACCTCCGATCTGATCCCTGCTGAGAGGATGCCATTCCCTAAGGAATGCAACATAAAACGTAAGTGCAGATTTATCGATGATGACTTAATATTCTGCTTTCCCTACTCTTTCTCGATCTCATCCTTTACTCGATCTAATTCTTTTTCGATGATGCAGCTGTTCCTTGGTTTCCTAGCGCGGTCTCGGACCTTACAGGTTGGGTCTAGCAACTAGCCTCCACTTCTTCATATGCTGAATGTTGTTGGCGTGACTTGGCCAAGGGTCTATGGGAAGCTAAAAACCATGGTGAGTTCTCTTATTTACATGTTTATGTTTCTTAGTGAAGTACTCACATTATCATTATGCAGGCCTTGGAGACGCCGTTGCTATGCGGCCTCTCCCGCCCGGTGAAGAATAAATCCCAAAGCCTGCGAAGGAAAAGAAAAGGAAAAGGTGGTCGCCTGCAAGTTCTCTCAAGCTAAAGAAAAGAAAGGCTCGAAAGCCTAAGACCGATATCGTGGCCCTATCTCCAGAAACGGCCCAACGCCTTCAGGATAAGAACGAAGAGGGAGAAGATGATGGCTGTCTGTTGGTGGCTCGGAAAAGACGAAGCACCAACGCTTCGAAGACCACTGAACCGATGGTGGCTGGTGCAGTTCAATCTCTAATCGAAGAAATTTTGGAGGGGAGCTCGAGCAAAGTCCCCAAGCCATCAGGTGGAAAAAGTGTGTCTCGTCTTGGGGAACATTTGGTGGGCGAGCTCGAAGAGCCTAATTTTGAGACCCTCCAAAGAAAGAATAATATCCTAAGTGAATCACTTGGGATAATCAATGTAGATGACTTGTCAAAGGGCCAGGTGTTCTCCGAGGTGCAATTCCGAGATGCCCAGGCCATGAGGACTCCTAATGTGGGAACAACCCATGAAGGGAGTGATATCTTTTGGGAATGCCTTGCGGGCATCGAAGATGGTCCTGATCCTGACGCCTCATTTATTTTTGATGAGGTCGAAAATCTTCTCAAACAAGTAAGTTTTTGTCTTCATAACTACGTTTTGAATTTAATTTTCACCATTCTAAGCCTGACTCCTTTTCTTTGTGAGAAGGTCATGTCGCTTCACCGACAAGCATTTACCAAATCTCGGGCCGAGCTTGCTCGATGCGAATCTGAACTCAAGAGCTCGTGAAAGAGAGGGACAACCTTAAGATCCTCTATGTCAAAAAAGAGGGGGAGATCAACGGTCTCCGAGTCGGGTTAGCGAAGGTTCATCAAGAATAGACCGAGCTTATTGAAAAAGTAATATAGTCTTTGAAGGTCTGTTATGCATTTACTTGATTTGGCGACTAACATTTCAACTTTGCAGGCCCAATAGAAGGGCGAGCTGGTGGAGCAGCTTCGAGAGAAGATCAAGACAAAAGAGGCTGAAACCCTAGGGTAGAAACAACACATGGACCGTCTAGCCTTAGAGAAAGATACATTTCAGGAATAGCTGACTTCAATCGAACACCAACTTCAAAATGCAAAGGAGGAAAGCTTGGCCTGGAGCTGCAAAATCGAAGAGCTCGAAGCTAAATCAGCCGTTGAGCTTGCGAAGGCCAAATCTGAGGTAGAAGCATCTGTGTCCTCGTACCGAGATGATGCCGAAGCTTCTAACACTCGGGTAGAGAAGATCTCCATTGCGGCTGAAGTTAAGTTATCATGTGCTCTCAACCATGCCATACGACAAACCCGGAGAGAAACTCTCGATGAGGTGCACGCTCGTGGCTTTGACCTCTCAGCTGATATTGAAAAAGCAAAAACATTGGAGGAAGAGGCTGCTGCTTTGCTCTCCGATGACGAGGATTCCGCTAGTGGCTACGAGAGCGGAGGAGATGAGGACGAAGTCCCCAAGGGGGAGGTTCCCGAAGATGCGGCTCCCGATGATGCAGCTCCCGAGAATGTGGCTTCCGAAGATGTGGTTCCTGGGGATGTGGCCCCGAAGTAGATTAGGTTCTTTTGTTTTGTTTTTGTGCAAGGCCCTTTGTGGGCATTGTAAATACTTTCGATGAATATAAGAAGTTCCCTTTCTTTTCACTTTTTCTCTCATTTATATTGAATTCTACTTCGTCTTTGTCACACCTCCTATTCACCTACACCCCGGAAGGGTATAAGGGAGTTTTTCCAATTTAAGTGACAATCAAAACGGGATTTATTATTAAAAGATTCAGAGTCGCCACTTGGGAGATTTATGGTGTCCCAAGTCACCGGTTGAATCCCGAATCGAGGAAAAGATTGACTCTGTTTTATAGTCCGCGAACATAGAAATCTGGGTAAGGAATTCTGTTAACCCGAGAGAAGGTGTTAGGCATTCTCGAGTTCCATGGTTCTAGCACGGTCGCTCAACTGTTATAATTGGCCTATTATCTAATTTTAATACATATTTTAGCCTATTGTTCAATTTTAACCTGTAACCGCTTTTATATACATATTTTTAGGGAGATTGCAACGTCATTTAAAATACTCCTTGAACCACGTCACATAAATGCACCCGTGGACCTCGACATATTTTATCTAACATTGTGGAGATTTGGATTTGGGTCACATAAATGTGCACCCGAGTTTAGGAAGGTAAATTATAAAGATAACGCGCCTAAAGCAACTGCGCGTTTGCAACTTTGCGAGGGCCATGAAAATTCGTTAAATGGCGCGCCTCGATTTCTAAGGATTCAAGTATTAATTAGACGAGGGCCATGCATTTTGAGATTTTATTTGGCACGACACACCTCAAATTTATTTCAGGAGAATTCAGTAATTAAGGAACGAACTTAAAAGGGATTCTAATTATTGCAAGACTATAGTTTGATCCTAATTATTACTATTAAGAGTTGTATTAAAGACCCACTAATTCTAAGACGAATCGTTTCAACAAACAACCACTATCCGAACCTATTTGAACGAGTCCAATTTTTAATAAAGAATGGACGCCCAAGAGCATGTAATATGCAAACCGTCTCTGCTGCTTTGAATGCCATAACTGGGCCAGCCTTTAGCCCACTTTTCAGAACCAATGTTTGTATAAGATCAGTTAAGTACCAATCAACCCAAAAATCATGTGAAAGTATGAAATTGAACTAGTACTTAATTCTGAGTTCTTATTATTAGCTAGGCTTCCAATTTATATGACATGCATTTGGAGAACAATTGAAGATCCAATTTTGATAGCTATGCAATAGGCAACTTTAACTCTCTAAGTCTCAGACTAACTCGAAATAAAGACATGAGAATTTAAACCTCAAATAAATCTCATACTAATAGAACCTGTTCTATGCAAGCAAACCAACAACGTGTCATTATGGAGACAAATGAGTACTCATATCTACATTTATAAACTCTAAACAGTAGAGGAGGAATCAACAGCCAACCCTTAACCTTTCAATGAATTCAAATAAAAACCAAAGCTAGAACATGAATGATCTTAAGCATAAACTGAACCAAATCTCCAACCCAAAAACATTAGATTAAACCTTTGTTGCAAAGTTCTAACAGCTCCCTTACTCGACACACTCAAACTTATTTAAAACTAGAGTCCAAAGTTCATTACAAGCACAAGTTTGCTCACAGATTCAGAACATTTAATCTTACCCACAGATTCAGGGTATGCGAACAATAAAAGTAAATGCCTAAACTGACACTTGTAATTTAAATTCTAACTACAAAACATGGAAAGCAGTAGGGGAAACAGAAAGAAAAACTAAGTAAATATGGCTTGCATTTCATCATATTTCACTGGAATCACATAGTCAACATTCACTTGTTGCTCAGAGATAGAGAAATACTTGGGAAGCAAAAGAAAACAAAAAAATGAGAAATCAGCAGTGAGCAGCAGCAATTAGCTCAAATTTGGCCAAACGAATAGTGAACGGCCCAGGATAAACCAGTGGAACAGGAGAGGATCTTCAGAAAACTGATTCAAAACAAGCTTAAACTATTTTTCTACTAAGATGTACAAGTTCAACAGTTTTTCCAGAAATTTTAAATTATCAGAGGATGCAACTAGCCAAACCAAACAACCAGAACCAATTGAAACTTTCAAATAAGAACCGAGTTTAATCCATTTCCACCCCAGGCGAATCAAGAATTGATTCAGAAATTGAAAACCTCAAAATTACAGAAGAACACTCAATGGAACATTAATTTTTCAGTCGTTTGTGTTTTTTCAGAATTTTTTATCTATTCAGCCTTGCCTTTCAATGCAAGAAAGCACGCCTTTATAGGCCAAGAAGTAGGCAGCTTTCAGATTTTAATATTCACCCCCTTAGTCCCTTTCCAATTCTCATTTTTGCTGCTTAATCCCTAAACTTCTGACTTGCTGGCCAAGTAAGGCCTTTTTTCAGCTTTTAGGAAGCTTCCTAGACAGTTATCAAAAGATTCCCAAACCCAAACTTCCCAAACTAACCTCCAACACCCCCTGTTTTTACTTTAGCCTACCAAACAGGTCAAGTTGACCCATGGTCTTTGGGATTTTGACCCAGATTGTGATTAAAACCCACAGGCCGCAAATAGGCGCGCCCAACAATTTTTCCATATTGGACATCGAAAGAAAAATGGACGGGGCAGAACAACAGAATAAAAATGAAAATGACAAACAAGCAGGAAAAGTGAAAATTAAAAAAATACTACAGAAGAAAAATGTTAATTACACTAATATGCTGATAATTATTAATCATGACCCAAATTCTAAACTTGCAACATATATCAACTAGTACTTAACAAAAGAAATGAGAGGAAACAGACCAAATACAATTGAGATGCCTTCAGTGACGGACAGAAAAGATGTGACATAGCTAGGGAGGAAGACAGAGGAAGGTGAATATGGAAAAGCAGAAAAAAAAAGACAAGAGGCAGAGAAAATACCTAATATAGTCGACACAGGGCGAAAACTTGAATGGACTTCCATTGTTCTCTGATTTGAGGCAAAAAGGAGTGTTAGTCAATTTGTTCTTACGAGAACAAATGTCTAGCACTCATTTTAGCCCAAAACCAACTTCAAAAACTCAGAGAGTAACGGGACGGACCTTCAAATGAAGGATCGAAGGAGGGTACAAATCTAGGGTTCCTGTTTTAAGATCCGAAATTAAAGAAAGGTGGAGAGGATTTGGGGAAAAATGGTTGTAGTTTAGTGCTTAAGGGACTGTAAGGATTATGTGGTCGAGATTTGGTGGCGATTTGGAGTTGTATCGCCGGTAACAGTAGCATCTTAAGGTTTTGATATAAAGGAGACGAAGTACAGATGTGTTTGGATGAACTGAGTGGTCTCTGAAGTTTCTTAGACACTCTTATGTAATTAAAGAGATGTGCTATGGACCGTCGGATGAAGCAAGATGAAGGGCAGGATTTGTTAAGGCTAACTGAACTCGAAACGACGTAGTTCCACCCCCTTACTACGTCGTTTCAAGGGCCTGGGTGATGGACTACTTAGACCGGGTAAAATGGCGAGTTTTGTTCAAATTTGATGGGTTAATGGAAGGGAAGTGATTTGGGCCTCATGGAGACTTAAATGACAGCCCAACAAGATTTTAATTCCAATTCCTTTTCTTTTCAATTCAATTTTTCCAAAATTCTTTTAAATTTAAAATTAAAAATAAACCTAAATTAATCACTAATATAATTATTGTATTACATTAAGTAACTCTAAATAACATTTACCACAAATAATTAAAAACCAAATTCAAGGAAAAACTACCAAAATTCGACATTAAAATTAAAAAGTGCAAAATAATTTTTTTTTTTGTGATTTTCCCATTTTTATGAAACAACTAATTTGTTAATTAATCCTAAAATGTAGAATTAAATCCTAAATGCAAATGCAATATATTTTTTTATTTTTCATTAATTAAATAAAATAAATATGCACAGATAAATGCAAACATTTAACATAAAATGCCACGAAAATTCACAAAATTGCAAACACTAAAAGAAATTATTTTGTTTTGAATTTATGGGAGTAATTAATATAGGGCAAAAATCACGTGCTCACAGCTTCCCTCTTTGCCCGGAAACACGAAGAGTTTTCGTGCAAAGATAAAGTGAGCGGATACAAGCGATTTTTGCCCGTTTGAATACTCTGTGGGAAGCATTTTTGAAAGATTTGACCGCACCCTGCTTCTGAGGTTGCCTACATATCCTTGGCTATAAAGGAATCAGGTTAGTGTAGTTCGGGAAGTTTTGGTAGCTGGGACTACCATGAAACTGTGATTTCACTACTGTTGCTGCTACTGCTTACTGAACCCCTTATTACACCATGATAAAATAAAAAGAAGCTAGACTAGACTATGATCTATGCATTACAAAATCCTATCTATCTCTTCAAACTTGCTCTTGTGGTTCTTGTTGCCTTGTTGACTTGCATTCTCCCGGTGTAATCCCCTTGTTGCCGCCTTGAATTGTAATCTGAGATGTTTCCCTTTCTCCAGGTGGACACCCGCTTGCTGAAAATTGAATGTATTCCCTTGTTCTCCAGGTGGGTTCCTGATTGCTGAACTTGAAATGTATTCCCTTGTTCTCCAGGTGGGCACCTAATTACTGTACTTGAAATGTATTCCCTTGTTCTCCAGGTGGGCGCCTGATTGCTGAACTTAAAATGTATTCCCTTGTTCTTCAGGTGGGCGCCTGATTGCTGAACTTAAAATGTATTCCCTTATTCTTCAAGTGGGCGCCTGATTGCTGAACTTGAAAATGTATTCCCTTGTTCTCCAGGTGGGCGCCTGATTGCTGAACTTAAAATGTATTCCATTGTTCTTCAGGTGGGCGCCTGATTGCTGAAACTTGAAAAATGTATTCCCTTGTTCTCCAGGTGGGCGCCTGATTGCTGAACTTAAAATGTATTCCATTGTTCTTCAGGTGGGCGCCTGATTGCTGAAACTTGAAAAATGTATTCCCTTGTTCTCCAGGTGGGCGCCTGATTGCCGAACTTGCAAAATGTATTCCCGTGTTCTCCAGGTGGGC